GTCCTTACCTAGTTGAAAGTTCAAGATCTTGGCCCCACACCCACAAGTCCATCACATGGTCCAATCTTCCATTGTCATACTGGCAGGTCCAACCATCCAATTCCGGTCAGGTGCAGAGGTGCAGAGACAAAGGATGGCCTTGGCTTTCTAGAAAGAATGTTGTTATGGCTGCATAGTATGTAACTCCTTACAATGACCCCATCCCATTTTCCCACAATAGAAAATGCATAGCAGAATAATAGAAAGTGTGGCAGGCCAAAGATCCAAAAGAAAAGATGGCTGCAGGCCTGATACCCATCTTTATTATTTTTACAAATCACTCAAGATGATGAATGTGTCCAACACACTTCCGTCCTCCTATTTCCCCACCACAACAACCCTATGAGGTGGATTGGGCTGAGAGGCAGGGACTGACCCAAGGTCATCCAGATGGCTTTCATGGCTAAGGCAGGACCTGGAGTGTACTTATCACTTTTGTTCATGCATATTACGATTTCCCTTTTTTGCCACAGTTAGAATTTTATAATGCTTGAGGACGAGTAGAAAGAATATATAATTTGAAAGCCTGGAGATAAACTATAGATGAAATGTGAAGGTTTTCCAGCACAGCCTCAAACTCCTAATAATTAAAATCAAAACTTGTCCAACATTTTTCTCACACCAGCTGCCTCCTTTTAATGGTTTCTTGTGCTATGTTATTTTTTCTTTCTAATTTCTACGGTAGATAACTTTTTATAACTGTTCCTTTTTTCTTGTTTTGGATTAGGCTAATTTTAAGGTCCAGTGTAACATTTATTGATTTGATTTTTTAAATTTATGTTTCAATGTGTGAAATACATAATTGAATGTAACTTCCACTTCCTGGAGCTAAATTTGGGGTCAGTGAAACGTCCCAAATACAGAAACTTTTACTTTGTGACTTGGCTCAGTCTTGTAAAACTGCACAACTAGAAGTGAATCAATGGAGTGAGTGCCTGATACACGTTAACACTCTTCAAACTGTTGAAAAGAAACTCATGTGGAGAAAGGGTGGATCTTACCTTCAGGGTGGATATTCCAAAGGATGGGTGCTTCGCCGAGGTGGGCTTTAAAAATTTCAGCAACGGATTCTCTGCCTGGTTTCTGGGTAGACGCAGCCATGATGGGCATGGCCTAGTCAGCTTCCTGCACCAGGGGGAGAGGGCATGTTCACCTTTCCCAGGTTCCGGAGGCTTTTCTCGAGCCTCTGGGAGGGCAAAAACTGCCAGCCCTAGGCTTTGGAGGCTGGAACTTGCCTGTTTCTGGCCTTCTGAAACTTCCAGGAGGCCCAGTTTCCCCCTACCTGAGCTTTCGCATGGGCCCTGCACTTACCTTGCATCCAAAATGGGCTGCATGGAGACTCCTGGGAGGGAAAGGGAGGTTGGGCAGGGCCAGCCAGGGTTGCGATTTGGGTGTTCTCTGAACTGGCCATAATGTTATCTCTGTGTTCTCCCAAACCTGGGCAATCTTGTAGCAGCCCACCCTTGGTGCTTCAACAGAAAACACTCTCCTTTTTGATCCTGTTGGATGACATTTCTTTGTTTCATGTCAGGCTGATGCAGGGGTGGGTTCCTGCCAGTTCTAACCTCTTCTATAAAAGACGTTCCACAAATCTACAGTGCTGTTTAGAACCAGTTCCAGTTCCCTCCCCCCACCCGTCCGCACATCATCAAGATGAAGAGCAGGGGGAGGAATTCTGGGAGTTGAAGTCCGCAAGTCTTAAAGCTGTCAAGTTTGAACACCCCTGGGAGTTTTTTTTCTAAAGGGTTAGGGGTGCAAGGGTCTTGTAACTTGACAGCTTTAAGACTTGACCACTTCAATGCCAGAGTTTCTGAGCCAACATTTTGGTTGCTAAACAAGAGTGTTGTTAAGTGAGTTTCACCACATTTCACAAGCTGGCCACGCCCATCCAGTCACATGGCTGTCAAGCCATTCCCACCCAGTCACATGGCAAGCAAGCCACTCCCACCCAGTCACATGGCCGGCAAGCCACTCCCACAAAGCAGGCCACACCTACAGAAGAGGTTCTAAAAAATTTCAAAACCCACCACTGGGCTGATGTGATTGGGCTGTGGTGGTCCCTGGAATACCCTGGTCCCATTTGTCATTAAATGGCTGTGATTGGTTCAAGCTTAAGGACTTTGTAAATGTGATTTTAGCCATCCAAATTGGGGACAGATACACCTTCCAAGCACTGAGAATATTCAAAGGCTTGAAATCTATGATTCTACTAATTGAAGTATGTTTATACTGCTGGAAGGAAAATCCATTTGGTCAGTTCCAAGCCATGAGAAAGAAGCTGGAAACAACATGGAGGCTGATTGGAAAGAAAGTTTATTGAACAGAACCACAAAGACCATGGTTCTGTGTCAGTTGAACAAATGGTTGAATGAGTGGATGGGTCTTTCTGTGACTTTGAAGTTTGAACTGTTCAAACTTGGGCAATTCCTATTGTGGCTAATGGCATTCATCCTGAGTTGGATCTTGGGTGGGGGGGCTGCTTGTTCTAATCCTACCATTCTGCCTTTGTTACCTGTCAAACTTTGCTGCAGGGAGCTTCGAAATATCCTGCCTTGAATGGATTCCTGCCTGCAGCATTTGCTTTGCTTACGAATAGAGCTATCTAGATAGTTTTTTCCTCTTTCAATTAGCTCTTCATCTCTTAAGTGCTGGCATCTACTGTGGGCTATTAAGAGAAACCTGGGGGATGCTTTCTGCCTCTAAAACATGTTTCTTCATTTCTCCTTTAGGGAAATATAATATTGTACTTTTTTAAATATTTCCCAAAATGTTTCATTCTGTTAGGGTGGGGGGGCTTCCCACAAGACCATTGCTAAAATAGAGATAGATTTCATTAATTTTAAATATCTTGCTCAGAAAACTGTAGAAGAGGAATGGAAAGAGAAAGGGAAAGGGGGAATTAAAAGTGACAGCATTTTCGAAAGAATTGTATCAGAGTGCATAAAAGAGACTGATTTAATTTAGGTGAAAGAATTCATATTCTTTGCTAAGTATTGCTCATTTTCAGAATCAGTTTGCAGGCTGTTGTGCTTTTCCAGTTGTTTATGATGCAGTTTACACTGATTTTGCAGCAAACTTAGTTTGCTGCAAAAGCAATGTTGGTTAACCTTTTCATTGCCAAGTGCTGAAAGTGTGTGTGAACGCACACCCATAATGCAATGCCCCACCCCCTGTGCATGTATGCACAACTCCCCACATCCTCCTGCCCCACATGCAGGCATGCATGACCCCCCACGTGCCCTGCCCCCATACAGGTCTGCACAACCTATACGCGTGCACCCCTCCCCTACATAACATGCACCCCCCGTGCCATGCCCCCTGCGCATGCATGTCAGAGACCCCAAAACCAGCTGGCTGGTGGGAGGGGCATGCACATGCACGGTGGAGCTGAGCGGGTGTGATGGCTTGCATGCCCTCAGAGAGGTATGCATGCCATAGGTTCGCCATCACAGGTCTAAGGATAGAATGGTAATACTTACAATCTTTTACAATATCCCAAGCATGTATTGTTTTCTTTGCAATTCACATTCTGCAAAATGAAGTCATTCTACACAGTAACATTCTCCTTGCTGTAATGTCATGGACGCTACAGTGTGTTTGAATATAAATTAAGTTGCACTCTGGCCAGCTAAGATGGCCAGCTAAAACTCTCATAAAGGGTTTTATTTTATCTTTAAAAGAAAATGTTGGTGTCAGTGCTGTACTCTGGCAAGCAACTTTTTTTAATGATCTCCATGTATGCAGCTGCAAAGCATTTTTCATTTTCACTAAACAAGAACAACGAATGTTTTCTTCTGTCCAGCATTTGTTCAGTATATCGAGTTGTTGTTAAAACAACAACAACAANCGGTTTACAGAGTCAGCATATCGCCCCCAACAACAATCCGGGTCCTCATTTCACCCACCTCGGAAGGATGGAAGGCTGAGTCAACCTGGAGCCGGGTCAAACTGCAGGCAGCCGGCAGTCAGCAGAAGTCGCCTGCAGTACCTCCCTCTAACCACTGCACCACCATGGCTCCCTGTGGATCCTGGACGGGCTCCCTCGTTCACCCACGGTCCAGTCTGTCCCCACAGGAGCCATTTCCCTTGAATGTCCCAATGGGCACCCCCAAAGGGTCACCCTGGGAGAACCCCCTACGTGCCCACCCACCCCCAGGGAAGAGGGGACACGTGTCCTGCGGAGACTCTACCTGGAACAGCCTGAACGCACTTCTTCTGGCCATCCTTCAGGCAGCATTTCTCATGCCATCCGCACTGGTGGTCTCCTGCGCAGGGCTTCTTGTAGACGGCCTGGTCTTGCGGCCTGGGGCAGTACCCCTGATGCACTGGAAGAGAGAGGGTGGGCACAGGGCGGGCCCTTCAGGCCAGGAAGGTCTCCTGGCATCTCCCCCAGGTTGCCCGGCGGCTACAACTGCTCTCCCAGCCAGTTTCCATCGGTAGAGATGCTGCCTTGCCATCTGTGGGGGCCTTTGGAAGGGCACCGCAGCACCAGAAGGAGAGCAGAATCAGATCCTGGGACACTCTCCTCCTTCCGCTTCCAAAACTCTCACCCCCCCCCCCAACCCTCCTTCCGTCTCGCCCCCAATTGGGCAGGAGCTCACCCACCTCCTTTTGGAAGGACACATTTCATTATGTTATGAACCTGGCAGCATTTTTCATCCCCTGGGCAGGGTCTGTTCGCCATGCAGTAATAGGCGTTGGGGGCAACATGTGTAGGCGCTGGGCACTCGCCGTAGGTGGGCGGAACTGAAGAGGAAGGAAAAGAACCTCAGGCAGCATTGGACAAAGCGGAACAGCTCCTCCTCCTCTTCCCAAACCCCTTCCTTCTAGCCCTGAAGAGGTTCCCTAGTCAGGCAATGAGACGTCTTCGAGAAAACCACCAGGCTCCCAGAGACCCCAAGGACCCTGCAGTTGTCCTCCACCACCACCTCCTCCTCCTCCTCCTCCTCCTCCTCCT